AAAAAAAAAAACATTTCGATTTCATACATCACTGGTCTGCAACATGACCCGGGGCAGCGACCCCCTCCGGCATCGCCACCTTTCCGGCTCCGACGAACCACTTGATGTCGTTGTACAGCTGTTCCGCCGCCGTTCGGTTCTGCAGCTCGATCCCATGAAAACCTCCCTCGTTGAAACGGTAGTATACCTCGACTCGGCACGACTGCAGGAATCGCACCAACTGAACCGACCGGTCCACCAACGGGTCCCCATAGTCCCCCTTCACGTACACCTTCGGCAGCCTGTACACCCGGCCCAAGTACGTCCCTCCGGATATCGGGTTGCAAAACTCGTGGTCCCGGTTCAAATTCCGGGGCAGAGCTAGACTCCAAAGCACGTCGTTCACGTACAATGCCACATACGGGTCGTCTTTAAGACGAATCTCCGACTCCGTTCTTCTCACCCCGCCGAAGTAAGCTTGGTTTAGGATCAACCCTCGGATTTTGACCGGTCGGAGGTCAAAGTCGAGGGCTCGGAGCGCCGCGTGGTAGACGATGTTAGCTCCCGCGGAGCTCCCGAGTAGGTAGACTCGGGAGAAATCGGCGTACTCGAGCCACGGGTCGCGGCCTCCAATCCCGAGCGCCTGGCTCCGGACCCAGAGCAAGGCGTTGAGGGCGTCGTCGTAGGCCGCGGGGAGACGATTCTCCGGGGCGAGACGGTACTCGACCGAGACGACGACGGCGGGGAGACTGGCGGCGATGTCGTTGCAAAAGTTGTGGAAAATGACGGTGGAGGCGCTGAAGAGGACGAAGTCGCCGCCGTGGAGGTAGACGACGAGGGGGAGCTTATTGGCGGTTTTTTTCGGGGGGTCGAGGGGAATGTAGAGTCGAACGTAGGCTTTGGAGTTAGGGCTGAGTTGGATGTCTTGGGAGTAGGCGGTCGGGGCGGGTTTGGAGGGGTCCGGGTAGGGGGTCGGCTCGACCATAGGGATCTGGATGGTGCGGTTGAGGGTGCCGTCGCGGTTCCAAGAGATGCCGAGGACGTCGAAGGCTTCTTGCCACGTGTGTTGATGGGATTGGGCGGTGAGGACGATGCAGAGGAGGAGGAGGAGGAGGGGTGGTAGGGTTTTTGTGGCCATTTTTTTTTTTTTGGTGGATGAGAAGTTTGGAGGAAGAGAGTTAGGGTGGAATGTAGTTTTGGGCTATGGGTGGGGGTTATTTATGGAGATTTTGTGGATATGGGGTTTTATGATCTTAGATGCATGCATCAATGGATCTGCATCTATAATGGGGTGTTATTTTGTGTCATTTAAATGGGAAGTGGGGTATAAAGCAGTTAAATAAGCGAGCTGTTCGTGAGTTCAACTCGACTTGTTTGATAAATGAACTGAGCTCGAGCTTATTTAAAGCTCGTTCAGTTAGCAGCTCGGCTCGGTAAGACTTGAATAGATGATTTTTATATATCCTTCTATAGTTTGGATCGATTTTGGCTCGTTAAAGTTTGATTTCAGCTCATTAATAGTAATAAACAAGCTAAACTCGAGTTTGGCTCGTTAAGGACTCAAACTAGTTCCAGCTCGACTCGACTTGACACCACTGGTGGGGTATTAATATGAATGTGACTCATTCATTTAAATGAAAAAGTTTGTGAGACCTACTAATACCATACAATCGCCTTTGATGAGTGATTTGTTGGTTCGAATATGAAATATGATATGTAATCATTATGGATGTTTTGTAGAATCCTGATACATAATACATAAATCATGAGAGATTGTGTGATTGATGTTTAAATAAATTAAGAATAAGAATGCATTGTCCAAAAGATGATTAATTAAAGTTGTACCAAAAAAAAA